ACAAATACAGATAATGGTGTACTCGCTCATCCTTACAGTTTAATAATACATCCGTGTGTGTGTGTGTGTGTGTGTGTGTGTGTGAGTTTCACACTGATGGACACCACATGTCTACTGTCAGGTGCTGTCTTTGAATATGTCCTAGTGGCTGTCGTGGGGTTTTGAACAAATCTTTCTCTTATTGTCTGCTGTCTGCAAATTGCTGTTACAATACTTGTATCCCAGTTCATTATACTTGTAGCTACATGTGCAAACAGCACCAGCTGAGCTTTGGATTTCATCGTACTCAACAACAGCTTGGGCTTTTTATGTAACTTTTTTTTCCCAGAGCCTCTTCCATATAAATGGGTGCGTTATCAGTACCTGGTCCCGTCAGTCAGTCGCTGAACAGCCTTGCAGGGCTGACCTTTACTTAAACCATGGAACGGCTCACATGATGTTTCTATCTCTCTCTTTTTTTTTTTCTCAACTTTCTATCACCCATGGAATATTTCTCACTTTCCGTTTTCTTTCTACAAAATGATTGACAGCTTAAATTAATGATCAAATGTGCACTAAATATTTAATGTCCTGCAATTCAAGTTATCGGAATTGAATATGAGCATTGAAACAGTTTCTAGATTGCAATATCTGTAGAGAAGCTCATATAATGGCAAGTGATTATTATTCCACAACGGAAGACGAGATCGGAGGTGACAGGAGCTCATTTGCATAGAAAGAGTCACAGAAAACAAAGAAAAGACAGTTTCAACAGTAATGGCTGTCAAAAGATGCTGTGGCTCTGATCTCTCTGCCTTTTGAATTCCCATCTGTCATCTCAGTTGTCTTTGCACAGGGAACTCCCTTCCACCTGCCCAAGTCACTGAACTGCCACTATTATGCAAATGTGTGCAGTGTTCAAACACGATAAGCACTTTGCTTGTTTGTGTAAATTATGAGCTAAAATGTAGCTGCTAAAGGCGTCAGGCATATTTTTTATGTATTTACACAAGATTTTTGGATTTATTTTCCTCAGTGTATTCTGGAGAAACATGTTCTTCAAAGGGGTATCTGATAAGCTGAGCTGAAAATATGTTTTTTTCTTTTTTAGTTTGAATACATAAAAAGCCCAAAGAAAAAGAACAGAGGAAATAGGATAACTAAGGGAAAATATTATGGGCCATAAAGGAATCCCTCACCCACAAAAATGATCATTTGCAAACCAATTAGTGATTAGTGATTCATGACCAAAGCTTTGTTTTTCTCTCATGTGTCTGCGGCAAACGGCGAGCATACTGATTGACTGGGGACCACATTTAACAACAGCAAAACTGTATCAAAACAAACTCTCACACAACTCGTGCAGTATAATCCAAGCCTCATTATGCTCAATATTCCCCAAACACATGCATTTTTGATTAAAAACACAGCAAAAAAAAAAAA